TGTTGAACATCTTCAACTGTGGTAATAGCTTCAAGGGATTAGTTATATTTGAGACAACATCATGATTTTTATGGGCTCTAGTCACTTCTTTGCTTTCATGGGCCCTTCCACCATTATATATATATTTAAAATTTATATTTTAAAACTGTGTTGATATAAAGATGTGTTAGTAATAACAGATTAAACCATTTTCTGTATAAAAGTCCACTTTTTTTCTTATGACTTCAAAGACATTAAAACATCTTCATGGGCCCCTAAAGTATCAAGGGCCCTCAACACTGCCTGTTGAGCCTAAAGACTTAGTCAACCCCAAATATGACAATTATTATCAACTGTATACTATGAATATATACAATTTATTATATGTAAGAAAGGTATTTCCAACAATCAGATATAATATGTGAATTAAGTAAATCTCTCTTCCTATGGCACGTTAATTAATATATGTTATAAATTCCTTTTATTAAAATAAAAGGTAAAAAAGAGAAAACATTTACTCCACAAAGCACTAAACTATCTGCTGATTAATCCTATTTATAAAGTCTTCACGCTCACTGAATTACACATGTGTTCTCTACAGTAAGTAACAAATATCACTGTTTATCTCTTGCCATTCAATATAAGCGGTCTTTTTACAAACAGTTTTACAACACAGACTATCCCAATCAACCTAAAGTAAGAGAAAGACATTTTAGGGAACTATGTAGAAGAAACATAGCTAACACAGAACATAGTGAAAGATCAGAAATAATACCTACCATTAAATATTTACAATTAACTAATAATTAGTCACTACTATAGGTGGAACTTATTTGAAAACACCATCACTGAAGATAGAATTAGTTAAGATGAAGCCATACTGGAGGAGGTGGGCCTTTAAAACAACATTAATGCTGTCCTAATAAGAGAGAAGACAATGAGAAGACATTCATAAGGGGAGAACATCAGCATGTAATGATGATGGCAAAAAGTGAAATGCTACAACTGCCTACAAGAAATGCAAAAGATCAATGCAAACCATTGAAGAGCAGGGAGGGGTGGCACACACCTGTGATCCCAGCTACTGGGGAGGCTAAGTTCTCAAGTTTGAGAACTGGGCAACTGAGACAGCCCCTGTCTCGAAATAAAGTAAAAAGGGCTGAGATGTGTAGCTCAGTAGTAGAGAACCCCCAGGTTCAATCTCCAGTACAACAAACACAAAAAGAAAAGAAAAGCAAGAAAGAAGTTAGTAAAGATTCTCCCCTATAGGTTTCAGAAGGAGCATGACCCTTCTGAGAATTTTCTTTTGAACTACTGCCTCTAAAATGGTTAGGCAACAAATTTCTGTGGTTTTAAGCCACCAAGTTTATGATACTCTGATATAATAGCCCTAGGAAACTAAAACATTATGCTGTATGTAATTGCTTACAGTAAACCCATAGGATTTTCCCACCTACAGCTAATTCTTTATTCAAAACTATGAAAATATTACAGTACTTTCAGAAAGTCTTCCTGTTGGCTGGCAGTTGTTTACAACATGCTTGAGTCAAATAATAGTATTTCTCATAGCTTTTAATCCTAAAACATTCTTATAACATGGTAATTTTTGATGTTTATTCCTCACACTGGCAAGTTGAAATATAAACTGTTTTTTCTGACTCTAGAGCCCATCAAGTTTATTCAACTATTCCATTAGATTAAAAAAAAAAAAAAAAACTTATGAAGCCTGGTGAAAACTCATCTTTAAATTTTTACCCCCAAAAAATATTTTAAATATATTAAACTTCAGTACAAAAAAGTTTCTGCAATTCTGACATTTATAAGCCAGCATGAATTTATAAACGTTATCAAAGAATTTTAAAATATTAATTTGTTGAAATGTAGTATATATTATGTTAAATTGATAAAAGTTTCTCAGTTTCAACAATTTATACTTCCTCATAAATTTTCCCAGTCTTTTTGGGAAAGAACAACACAACCAAACATAACTTGAAGAGTATAGTCTATGGTTTATTTATTTAAGAGCAGTGGAGGAAGAAAAGCTTAAATCCAGTTACTAAAGTTAATCTACTTTTCTTTGAGGATCAATCCTTACAATGGCCATCAACATGGAGAAACTAAAAAAAAAAAAAAAAAAAAGACAGAGTTACAATAACTTTGTGATTCTGCAATCTGTATATGGGCTAAAAATGGGAGTTCATAACCCACTTGAAGCAAAGTGTGAAAGATGATATATCAAGAACTATGTAATGTTTTGAACAACCAACAATAAAAAAAAAAAAAAAACACAAGGGGGTAAAAAAAAAATAACTTCCTTAACAGCATCATTTTGGATTAACAGCTTTAAATCTGAACCCTAAAATTAGAAATAAAGAAATCCTAAAGGAAAACATCATCCTTCCAACATAAATCTCTCAAATCTTCTTTTAGCATGGGGTACTGTTTAAACAGAGGAAGAATCACTATAGAAAGCTCTAAATTACTGAGTTTTCTAAGTTAATTAGGGAAGAGACCCTCAAATTACTAAAAATGACAAAGAGATCAAGATGGAGATATTTGGTCACTAAATTGTTTATTCTTTTAGAAGAAAAAGTTAAAATTCGTTTTTATTTTTTAAAATGAAATTATTTACAGCTTAAGGAATATATGTGAATTAAAAACAGGGCTGAAGATGTAGCTCAATGGTAGGCAGAATGCTTGACTAGCATGTATGAAGCCCTGGGTTCAACCCCCAGTAGCTCCTATATATACACACACACAAACATACATACAAATACATGTATATTTAGTATTAGCTAGGACTCATTCTCAGCCACATTACTACATTGCGTACTTAAAATATATTACATTAACATAAGCACTACTGCTAGTTATCAGAATCATCTCATTAAATCCTAATCACCTTACAATAAAGGCACTAATATTATTACCACTCCACAGACTAGAAAGGGGGACACATAGGTTAAGTAACTTACATCATATCATGGAGCCAGTGAGAGAGCTATATGAAAATCCAGGTCTGCCTGCCCTCAGAGCCCACTCTTAAGTCACTACTACACTACATTGATCCTAAATTGGTTTTTACTGTGATACAAACATTTCATCTTGTTACATTTCATCACATATTCCAGGACTATGTATAATCTTTGCCTAAGTAATGTTGAGTCACCCCACCAAATAATATTTATTATGAGCAAAGAAGGATCCAAGATAAGTTAAAATATGCTGAGCTTTATTTAAAAAAAATGGTTTTTTAAAAAAAAAAACTAGAAATGTCCTGAACCCTCTGTTTTAGAATAAAATTTAACCAAATAGTTCATGTGAACAAGTTCTCCTTTATAAGAGATTTGCAGTTAATAAATATAGGAAAAATGAGAAAATTAGAAAATCAATGTTTTATAACCCCTAATAAAATAACAGATCCAGGTAATGCATAAGTAAAAAATTATTAAGTGACAAGTATATGGGAACATTCCAATGAATGGATTGCCCCAACTAATCACCTTACATTACACAAAACAAGGTACCCTGCACCACTTCTGAAATATTTTGATTAAAACCAAAGTAAATACGATCAAGTTACTAGCTCTGCCAGTATACAGAAAATTCAAGGAACATACCTGTTTGTTAAATGACCCCAGCATAGTCACCCTAATCCAGAATGTGGAACATTCTAAAGAAATATCACACAAGTCCTTCAACAAATAGAATCAAAAAAATGGGGGGAATTTTATTGATTTTAAAAGTTTATGAGACATGTCAATCAAACAGAGACCTAGTCTGGACCTTGATTTGAACAAGCCAACTGTAAAAAGGGCATTCCTTTGATAATCAGAAAATATGAGATGATACAAAGAAAGTATTATTAATTTTGGTAGGTACACAAATGACATTTTGGTGAGACACAAAAAATGTCTATATCTGATAATGATCATACTAAAGAATTTACAGATGAAATGTAATGGTGGATATTTATTTTAAAATATTCCAGGAAAAAATACAAGCAGAAAAAGTAAAACAGAAATACAAATGGCAGGATATTAATTGCTGTGGAAATTGGGTGACAGGTGCATGCAGAGTTCATTATACTATTATACTATCATCTCTACTTTCGAATAAACTTGGAAATTTCCTAAATACAAAAAGTAATAATGTGTATATCTTGTTTGGATTCTGATTCCAACAAACCAATTGTGGAAGGGCAATTTTGAGATAACTAAAGAACACAGGCTAGATTTCAGATTACATGAAGGATTTAATAATTTCGTTGAATGTCATTAGAGTATTAATAGCTATTTTTAAGTCTTCTTTCAGAATTATACACTTAAGTATTTAAGAGAAAAACAATAATATTCAGAGAAAATCATCCCAGAGAAAATATCTAGAATTTGCTTAAAAGTACCCCAGGAAAAACAAACAAAAAGTATGGAGAAGAAACAAACAAAACAAAAATGGTACAATGTTTATAACTGCTGAACACTATAAGTAATTAATGTAATTAATTTAATTAGTCTAATAGTAAAAACTCTATTATGTATGTTTGAAAAATTACATAATAAAAAAGTTTTTAAAGAATGACCTCTAGGCTTAGGAAAATACTAAATATAAACAAATAATTGCAAATTGCTTTCATTTTCTGAGGTTAAAAGGATAAGTGAATAAAAATATACACAACACATAAATAAAATATATCCTAAGATACATATCACAAAAAAGACACAAAAGAGAAATAGAAATATATAAATTTAAGAAATATTCAGATTATCATGAGAATTAAGGAACTAGTCACTAAAAGACTGCAAAATTGGGTGAGGAATATAGTAGGCACTCAATAAATGTTTCTGAATGAATGAATATTCTATAAATTATCTTATTTCATCTTATAGAAACTAAGACTGTTCAAAGTCTAAATTTCTATAAACATTATAACTTAATTCAACCTGTTCATTGTACACTTCAAAATAATGAGGCCCAGAATAACAAAGGATATAACTCTGTTTACATTCAAAACATTTACTCACTTCATAAGACCTGAATTCTTCTTACTAAATGGTCCGATGATTTTGAACATCAGTTCCACAACTCCATTTTTCCCTAAAGATACTGAATTCACAGCTGAAAGGGAGAGAAAAAGATACAAAATGATTTAAAAACTTCAGTAACTGAAAATATGTAGACTTACTGATACATAGCCAAAAACATATACAAAGTGTTTAATAAATGTGAACTCAAGTCACTCTTGAGTTAGTTTAAGTCCACCTTAATAAAATGCTTAAGAGAAGATGTTCTTTTTTCTTTTTTTTTTTTCTCTTTTGTTTTATGGGAAGTTGAAAGGCAATTCTGAAACAAATTACAGCCCCCCAAAATATATATATTATAAAAAAAGACTCCAGCTGGATGCAGTAGCACACGCGTGTAATCCCAGCAGCTCACAAGACTGAGGCAGGAGGATCTCAAGTTCAAAGCCAGCCTCAGCAAAAGTAAAGTGCTAAGCAACTCAGTGACACCCTGTTTCTAAATAAAAAACAAAATAGGGTTGGGGATGTAGCTTAGTGGATGAGTGCACCTGAGTTCAATCCTCAGTACCCAAAAGGAAAAAAAAAAAAAAAAACTCCAGTTGCTCCATTTGTTTCTTCAATCAATTTGGTCAACATGGGGATTGAGAGACAATAGTAAACAGTCTCTGCCTTGACAAAGCATAGTGTTGATAGAACGAGAGAAACCATAAACAAATAGCTTCTTAATTACATTCTAATAAATTGTGAACTATTTGGGTTACATCACCCTGCTCAAAATTTTCAATTCTGAATACATATATTTTTTAAAATTTAAGTAAACTATGCTAGTCAGTGGCTAATTCAATAAAACACCACCAAAAATGTACCTCTTAATATTTTGTAAAATGATATTAATTTCCTCTTAGTTTGTTACTTTGTTATCCTTTCTAATTTTATGGCTGTGCTTTCTATTTCCTTGATTATATTTGGTGATTTAGCCATTTTGTTTTTAATCTAATTCAATTTTCATTTTTAAATCAATATTTTTCTATTTTCTAATGTATGTCTTTTATTTTTTTTTTACTATCTCATTCCTCTACTCTCAATATTATTTCTCTGCTCTTAACTTCTCTAGTTAGATAACTAATTCATTCACTTCCTTATGTTCTTTTTAATTACACAGGTGTTCATTACTTAAGTGTTCAAAGCTATTTTCCTTTAAGCACACCATATTGTCAAAGCATAGATATATATACACATACTCACACTTAACATGTTTATATGAGTTTATGTACACGTGTACACACACACACACACACACACACACACATCCTCATTATTTTGCAAAGATATTCTGCAATAATACACACCCTACAATTCAAATTTTAGGTTCTTTCACTAAACACTCCAATTTCACAGTCAGAGAATAAAAAGGAAATGCATGTATACCTAAGTGAGCATGTGTACTTAGGGAAACATTTTATCTGAGTCGATCTCTCTCCTCAATATATTTTTCAGAGGCTCCAGTACTGTGGTTTTTCAGTTCTGACACTTCCCTACTACTAAAGATAAGTGATCCCAACTTTCCTTTCAGCTTTCTTCTCATCTGTGAAAATCCCAAGAGATATATGGTTTTTCAAGCTGCAATACCCTCATATTTTTCCACAACTTTTCCCACAGCAACCTATTCACCACCCTCTCTAGTCCTTTACAAATTAAGGGGGTAGGTGAGAATTCTCAAGATTTGTCAACTTGCCTTCTTAACCCAAAATACTTCTGTTGAATTAAACTTAAAAGAGCTAAAAACAAGAAAAGATATTAAATCTTCTCTTTCCCATGAATTTGAGAGGTCTGCAGAGTTAAGGCAGTTTAAGATTTTCATTTTGTATAACTTCACAACACTTGAGTTAACTAAAAATCACTCTGAAATACTCACAATTGGCAGAATACACTCGTAAAAGCTGAAGACAAGGTAGAACCAAGCGATGATTCTGCAAATTCTGTTTGACCAAACTCAGAGTTATATTCAGAGCCCCATTAATTCTAGCTTTCACTCCAAATTTTTTATCTGTTTAAAAAAAAAGTTATTCACATTTACTTTTGAATAAAATGAAGTCATAAAGCAATGACATTTTTAATTTAAATTATGAATTCATATCACCAAATATGAAGTTGACCTATAAAGTTATAATCATTTTTTGTATGATTTTTTAAATACTCTATGACTTTTAAAATACTTTTGAAGCATGCTTAAAAGAATGTGAGGGGCAAGCAAAAGATAGGGCAAAAGGACAGAGGCTGGAATAGCCCAACACTTAGGTTGTCAAAAAAAGAATCTAACTGACCCTCTACACAAGCAAGTCGGTCTGATTCAACAAGTTTATCAGAATACCATCACATAGTTAAGAGGAAGTATAGAGAATCTAAATGTCCATTACCAATATTACTAATTTAATATGGACAGTATCCTTTTCCTACTTATGAAAGAATATAAATTAGGGGAAAAATGAATACTTATGTAAATAATACTATCAAATCAATGTCTAATGGATATAACTCAACATAAAAAACAAAGAGAATTTCTTTTTTATTATTATTTTTAGTGGTACAAATTTATGAGGCACACTAATAATTCAATACATGCATCAATATGTAATGATCAAACCATGGTGGTTAAAATTTCTATCTTTTGACATTTTTAAAATTTTTGATTAGCACATAATTGTACATATTTATGGGTTATAGTATGATATTTAAATACGAGTATATACTATATACTGACCAAATCAGGATAGTTAACATTTCTAACTCCTATCATTACTTTGTGTTTAGAAAGCACTGTTCTTAATTAGAATTTTCATCAAAAGATTAAAAAGATTTTTAAAAATTTAAAGAACACGTGGTCTGGAGCTGTGGCTCAGCGGTAACTACACGCTCGCCTGGCATGTGTGAGGCACTGGATTCAATTCTCAGCACCATATATAAATAAATAAACGTCTATCAACAACTAAAAAAGTATTTTAAAAATTTTTAAAACAAGAATTTAATAATATTAAGATTAAAACAAAAGAAGCAAGAAGGTCCAAGAAAAAGAGATATGCTGTGAGCAGCAGAAATTTTAAGTCAAAAAGAATTAAACGTTGTTAAAGGAATATTACTCTCATTTTACAAGAAATAAAAAAATGAAAATCACTCAAGAAATGACTGTACAAATCCCTAAATAACATAAAATTAGAAAGCTAAGACAAATAAAGAAAAATGCAAACTTAAAATATGTAGGAGAAAATAAGGATGACCTTCAACTTGAATGGGACATTAACTTAGCCAGGTGCAATGGCACATGCCTGTAATCCCAGCACCTCTGGAGGTTGAGACGGGAGGATCATGAGTTCAAAGCCAGCCTCAGCAAAAGCAAGGCACTAAGCTACTCAGTGAGACCCTGTCTCTAAATAAAATACAAAATAGGGCTGGGGATATGGCTCAGTGGTTGAGAACCCCTGAATTCAAACCCCAGTATAAAAAAAAAAAAAAAAAATAACTTAAATTTCACAAAAAAGTATAAGAAAGATAAATTGGTTATAATTAGAAATGATGCATGAAACAACAATATTCATCAATAAAACATGGTTTTCTTATTTTATTTTTCATTTTTACTTCACATAAAAATCCCAAAAGGGAGTTCTTAAAACTCAAATACAGGTTAAAAAAAAATACCAATAACATATTTGTTAACAAACTTAACATATATTTGAGTCCTAATGTCCCAAATATACATAGGAATTAAAGTCACCTAGTTCTTTAAGAGCAACACATGCTTAAAGTTCTATTTAAACATTTGCACAATACACAAAGATATACTTGAAATACACATAAATGCATAAACTATGTATACACATAATTTGGGGGTGGGGGGGGGCAGGTACTGGGTTTTGAACCCAGGGACAAGCATTTTTAACCAGACACTTGAAATTTAATACCCATATGCAAGACACAAAGCAATGCCAAAACTCTTAAAGCACAATTGTAAGAGTTAAGGGAGTCATTTTAATCTTTGTGCAGATATACAACTATAAATTTAGCCTTTATTCAAATAACACCTTCCTCTGTTAACCCAACCTAAATTGATTTCCTTCTTTGTCTACATCCATTTTTATCAATCTATATTTTTTTAAATTGACATGTCCTACTATTGTAATAATTGGTCTCATAATTTTCCATGTCTATTTTGGTCTCTAAGTTCCCTGAGAATTCTAAAAATGCAATAAAATTATGACATGAATGAAAAGCACTGATTGTTTACCTCTCTGTTCCTCAAAACATCCCCATCCATACTCCCTCTTTCTAGCCTCAACAATACTCACAGTATGTGTATCCTTTACACACATTCATAAGTAGGCACACAAACACACCAAGATACACTTATAATTCTGATGTATTTGTCTTTCTTTTTCTACTACATGCAATAGAATTCTCCATGAATTCTGGATCCTCATTTCTTGCCTATTACTAGTTTGACTGTAAAAAGCCTAGGTGTTCCTTAATAGATAGACTGATAAAGAAAATGTGGTATATACACACATTGGAATTATCCTCAGCCATAAAGAAGAATGAAATTATGTCATTTGCTAGTAAATGGATGGAACTAGAGAACATCAAGTTAGATGAAATAAGACAAACTCAGAAAATCCAGGGTTGAATGTTTTCTCTAACATGAAATTAGAGAGAAATAAGGAATTTTAAAAGGGGAAGATCTCATGAAAATAAAAGGAAGAATGGAGTAGAGGAAGGAATCAAGATGGAGGGAGGAGGAATGGAAAAGGGGAGAAAACGCAGTTTAAAATTGATCTGATTATACTATGTGCCTATATGAATATATCACAATAATTTCCATTTTTATGTATAACTACAATGTACCAATTAAAATAAATTAATAGAAAGAAAAGCAATAGAGTCAAAATACCCTCTATATGAGTATCAAGAGAAAGGGGATGGCAGAGGGAGGGGAGGTCAAGGGGTAAGGGAGGTCAGGAGACTGAAATGGGGTAAACTATTTCATATGCATTTATAAATATGTCAAAATGAACTTGAAAATTACATAAAACTATGATACACTAATAAAACAGATTTTTAAAAAACTAAGCAACTTCAGGTATAAAGAATTGATGATATGGGGCTGGGATTGTGGCTCAGAGGGAGAGTGCCCGCTTCGCATGCATGAGGCACTGGGTTCGATCCTCAGCCTCACATAAAAATAAAAAAAAAATAAAGATATTGTGTCCACCTATAACTAAAAAAATAAATGTAAAAAAAAAAGAATTGATGATACAAAGATGGTTCTAGATTGAGTAATCATACAAGGGAAACCCTTACCTTTTGGTCCAATCTTTGCAAGAACAGAATGAATCTGCACCATTAACTCCTCATGTGGGGGAGAATCTTTGCTGGCATTTGTAAGTAATTGTAACAATATTTGTGAACCACCTTTGGTGACTAAGAAACTTGCTCTTCGACCTCCACCTAAATTAAAAAAAAAAAAAAAAAAAAATTTAACAGCATATCTTCTCCAGTATGTATCACAATTGGTCAGTATTGCAGACATTAAAGTGCTGATTCCTAAAATCAAGCAAATACTATCAAAATCATATTTTGTGTTATCTCATTTATCTAATTAGAAAGTAGCTGACAAAGAGTGAACACGAGTAATACCAAAATTCTAAGTTTAAAACTCTAAACTTATGTTGCAGGGGTAATTTGAGGGATATTTGAATATATCCAAACAAAACAGCAAAGGAGTATGATATTTCAGTTTCCAGTCCCAATACTTAGAATACCTTCTATATGAGTATAAAAAATTCAAATGGCAGATCACTATTTACAAACAGAAATAAGACCAAGGAAACAAAAACTTACCAGCTGAAACCAGCTCAACAAGAATGCTCAAGATATTTAGCGTAGTTTGAAGATCTTTAGTGTTCTGAAATAGATAGTTGATTTGCTTTATTAAAAATGGTAACAGGGGCGGGGGTTGTGGCTCAGTGGTAGAGCGCTTGCCTAGCATGTGTGAGGCACTGGGCTTGATTCTCAGCACTGCATATAAATAGATGAATAAAATAAAGGTCCATCAACATCTAAAAATAATATTAAACATGGTAAATATGTGAAACTCAAACTTTTTGTACCTCTTGGAAACTATCTATATTTTATAATGGCCTTCTCAATTTCTCTAGGAACAAACATATTCAGGTTTCCACTATTCTCTTATTCAGTTTTCTTTTTGCCTCTCAGAACTTTTACAAATATATTTATAGCTATCATTTTCTTAGTATCAACATTATTACAAAAGGAATTAATTTGTAATTTAAATTCCTATATTTCTACCAAAACAAATCTACCAGATAATGAAAGTAAAAAAACTGCTAAGATATAGCTCAATGGTACAGTTTTTGCCTCAAAAATGAAAGGATCTGGGTTCTGCCCCAGTGAAGGAAAGGAGGAAGAGAATAAGGGAAAGAGGAAAAAAGAAGGAGAGAAGGAGAAAAAAGTGAACTAAAATTAAAAAGGCACTATAATATATATATATATATGATGACTACTCAGTCACCTAGCTCCTGTCTCAAGAGATAAATGTTATCAATTTCTTATGAGTTCTCCCTAAAATAATATGCTCATAAAAGAAATTCAAGTATGCACACATGTGCAGACATATTTATTTTTCCAAATGATACTGCCCTACAGATATTATTTGGAACCTTGGCAATTTTCGTATCAATAAATAGAGCTTCTTCATTATTCTTTTTAAAGGCTGGACAATAAATTCCATTATATGGTTATACCATTTGTTATGTAACCAGTCACCTACCCATGGGATATTCAGGTATTTTTATTTTTTTTCCTGGCCTTTATTTTTATTTTTTTATTTTTTACATACAATAGTGGAATGCATTACACTCATTATTACCCATTTACAGCACAATTTTTCGTAACTCTGCATATAAAGTTATGTTCAAGCCAAATTATGCCATTATACATGTTCTCTTTTTTTTGCATTACTCAGGTGTTTTTAGTATTTTACTATTTAAAAATTATAGCAAATAACTAAGCAAATATGTTTATACGTGATGAAAATATATTTGTGTATGTGAAATAAATTTCTAGAATTTCTGAGTCGAAGATATTACCAAATTGCTCTCCTTGGAATAATTTACACTCTCATCAGCAATATAGAAGGAGAGCACTATTTTGTAAAGTCCAGACAACCAATCTAATAAATAAAAATGCGTAAACATGGTACTCTGGTTACTTTTATTAAAAGTGATGCTTAATCTCTAGTGACATTTATTTTCCTTTTTCTGAGAACTATCCAATCATAACCTTCACATGATTTTCTACTGGTTATGAACTTTTTTCCCTTACTGATTTATAATTCCTTATGTTGAAGAAATTAAATGAGTTCAAAGAGTTTTTCTGTATTTTCCAACTATCTCTAGAGTTTTTTTCATACACTTGTTAATGTAGTTAAATTAATGTAGCAAGCTTTTCTTTTTACGACTCCCACTTTTTATACTTAGAAAACTTCCTTGTTATAAGAATATTTTTTAATTTCTCCCATTCCTTCCGCCAGTATATGATTTTATTTTCAATGCCTACATCTTTGCTTTGTGGAAGTAAGAATCCAACATCATGCTTTCCCAGATGGCTATCAATTTGCCCCCGGCTTCGTTTGTTAAGCAACCCCTCTATTCATCCATGATCTGAAATGCCGCCTTTATCAAATAGTACTAAATTCCCATGAGTATTTTAAATTTATTTTTGGATTTTCTGTTCTGTTATACTACCTAGTACTCGTATAGAATTTCTAAATTACTTTAGTTACTAAAACTTTATAATATTTTTTGATATTTGTTTGGTAGGAATAGTCCTTTCTCACTTCTCTTCTTTCCAGGAATGGCCTCTCTATTTCTACTTATTCTTGACCCCAACCCATTTGGACAATATTGTATGAGACTGCTCTAAACTAGCAGATCAATTTAAGGAAAATCAATATTCTTATATGGTTAAGATTTCCTATGGAAGAACATAAACTTATTTCTTGTGCTTAACACTGCACTGAATAAAATATAATATCCTGATCTGAATACATTCTCTGATTTTATCCAAAAATTTTACACTGGCATAGAAATTTAAGTATCATAAATATAACATAGTAGTTACTCAACCAATAAATAAGAGTAAAACAAATCATGAATGTATAGCAATAGAATAATAGAATAAAGGAGACTTTCCAATGTTTATCATTTATTTTAAACTAAAGATTCATTTCCAGCTAATGTTTCCTTTGGTGAGGCGTGAAAGCATTCTAGACAAGTGCTCTATCACTGCACCACATCCCCCAGCTCTCTTAAGAGAAAAACATTTATGATTAGTATTTGTGTGTGTGTGTGTGTGTGTGTGTAGCCTTTTACCTTCAGTTTACAATTAAAGGCTATTAGTGATTTACCTCTAATGTTGACAGCAGAACTTCCATTCCTGTAGAACCTTTGGCTGTCATTTCTCTCCTTGTTTTTTCTAAAAAGTAGAAAATAAGTTTTTAATATGAATGGGTAATTAAGTATATAAAGTTTTATTAATATATCTAGTATAGAATCAATAATCCTCCATTGGTTTAGTAAACATTCTATACTGGAGCCACCTACATGTTCTTCTCTCTGAAGTTGCTAATTCTGCTCACTGGAGACTTCAAGATTTCAGTTAAAAAAAGACCTCCCCTACATTTCTTTTCAGTTACTACCATGATCTTTCTAAGAGTGTCCTTAACAATCCATGAAAAATTTAAAAGCCAGAAATATAATACAGATGCCAAACTGGGGTAACATAGAGTTATAATGGTAGATTTCTTTCTTTATGGATAGAATTAAAAGATAGTTAGAAGATAATTAATCAAAATGAGTGAAATTCAGAGACCTAGTACCATTTTGAAATGTTTTTATTGTATTAATACTGTTTCAAATTTTGAATCACACAAAAATAATCAAAATTAAGGAAGAACAACTCCTGTAAGAATCTGGAGATGAAATCACCCAAATCATCTTTCTTTCTCTGGGATGCGGGGGAAATGTGTAAATATTTCTATTATTTACAAGTTCCTAGATCTTCTCAATTCTCCTTTGATTAACAAGAGAAGGACAGTAAATCACAGGCCAACATTTAAGAAAGGAACTAACATTTACTATTCCATGTATTTTACCCACATTATCACTTATATGCCTCATTTTAACTCCCTGGGGGTGACAAATTACTCTTTTCATGGACCAAAAATTTCTCCTTTGAGAAAAAGAACAATTATGTACAAAATAAATGAACAAATTAGTGAATAGACCAAGTGACTCAGATGTTTCTGAACACAATTTAATGTGCTTCCCAAAGAGTCACAGGAATCATTCTTTTAACAAGTCCCCAATATTTTTAACACCTGAATACTAATGCCAGAAATTCTTTTATATATGGGCCACTGCCATTCACTTCATATTTTGAGATTTTAAAAATAGAACACAAACTTGGGGCTGGGGCTGAGGCTGGGGCTCAGAGGTAGAGTGCTCTCCTAGCATGTGCGAGGCGCTGGGTTTGATTCTCAGCACCATACAAAAATGGATGAAATAAAGATACTGTCTGCAAATACACACACACACACACACACACACACACACACATTTTTTTAAATAGAAAACAAGCAATCCACTCTCAATAGTACATATTCCACAATAAACTTCAAAGGACTAAATTCAATGTTCCAAATGGCGGTAGTCTAGGGAGTTTTAAAGCAGAAAAATGAGAACCAAGGCTCAGATAAAAGGAAAATAACAACATAGTTGTGGGAGACAAATTCAAGCTAATAAGTCTTAGACATCATACTTTTGCCAAGAGCAAATCCTGTTCAACTTCTTAAGTCAGACATCTATTTGAAAATTATATTACTCTAAATTAGGAGTTATTAAAAAGAGGGAGAAACATACTATCTAGAGGTTATTAGTAGGTTATTGTACCTACTAATAATTACCCATAAAATAAATGTGCTGGAAGTTCAATGTCATATTTATGTATCATCTCAGGTCCAGGAAGTGAACGTTGTGGAACTCATAGAAACCTTTCATCTTTCAAATTAGAAATTCTCATAAGTGATAAGATCTAAAAACACTGTTCATTTTTGCTCTCTACTGCCATATTGCTGATGTGTAAAAGACTGACAAATTTTCTCACCTATAAAAAAAAGTAAAGCTCATTAATGTTAACAAACTAAATTTCTCCTTTTAAAAAAACTACACTATTCTGTCAACCTTATCTATCCTTCACCTGCTCCTCAGTCCAGCTGCCTCTAACAAAAAAGTTTAACTTCCGAAAGAAATAGTTCCAAAGAGCCAATGTATCCTTGTTGTAAGTAATATTTTAAATTAAGACCACTGATTTAATAAAGCTACATTATTTTAAAATACTAATATCATGTAGAATATTCAGAGGATAGAGAGCCCATGAAAAACAAGCCATTACATGTTCACCTTCCCTGGGTGGTGCTCACTTCCTTTAAAAACAACACAATGAAGTCTCTTACTCTGGTATTAATATTGCTTATGTTATTACTGTTGCTTATGCTTCACACTAAATGAAAACTAGGTCTCACTCTAAGCATTTTCTACTCTACTCCTCCACTATGATCTTGGAAGATGTCAATGTTAACAAGGATTATACATTCAAATCCTAATTCTATAGTTTCTTTTTTTTGTATTTTATTTTATTTTTATTTTTATTTTATTGGTTGTTCTATAGTTTCTTAACAACAAAATCCATCCCTGTGCTCCAACTTACCAAACCTCTCAATGGCCATTCTCAGGATCTCAAAATGCTCCAACACTGGTGTGTTACCTCTCACTTTCAGATTATAACCTCCTAACATGCCAAATTTCTCTTTTCTTTGTAACAATTATATAATCCCTGTCACCTTCATTCAAACTTCAAGTTCATCAACTCATATATCCAGAAATCACAATATCAGTCTGCTCCATACCTAGCTTGGATTCCATGTGCCCCATGTCCCACACAAACCCCCATGCAGAAATGAATCCTATAAACTGCATTCTGTACTTCAACATAAAAGTTAAAACAGTGCCAGAAGAATTTTTTTCCTAACTTTTTAGCATAAGATTATGTAAGCAATGGTATTGTTGGATTTCTAACATGTATAGAGGTAACACATACAACAATAATAGCAAAAAGAAATGGAGTTTTATTGGAAGAAAGTTGTAAATTTCCTAGAATTAAATACACTAAAGTACAATGTTAGAAGATGCCTATTTTAATCCCTACAGGAAACACTGAAAACTAAAATTGCCAAAAGTTGACAAAGCACACACAAAAAAAGAAGGCCATAAAAGATAAGACAGATGTAAAAGACATGAAACATTTAGAAAACAAATTTAAAAAGTCAGATGTAAATTCTATCTTATCAAAAAGTACATTAAATTGGAAGCACTAAACAGATTAGACTAAAAAAAAAAAAAGCAAGATACAATATGTTATCTTCAAGAAACACAGATTCAGGGGCTGGGGTTGTGGCTCAGCGGTAGAGCACTCACCTAGCATGGGTGAGGCCCTGGGTTCGATCCCCAATACTACATAAAAATAAAGATATTGTACCAACTACAACTAAAATATAAATATTAAAAAAAAAAAACAGATTCAGGGTTATAGCTTAGTTGGTAGAGTGCTTGCCTAGCATGCACAAGGCCCGGGGTTCAATCCCCACTCAGTACCACCAAAAAACAAACAAACAAAAAAAAAAAAAAACAGATTCAAAAACACAATTTCAAAGTAAAATAAATGGATAAAAATACAATATAAAAAGATTAATCTTAAGACAGCAGGAGTGGCTATACTATCAGACAAAACAGACTAAATATTACTTAAAACAAAAAGGGATGTTTCATATGATAAAAAAGGCAAAACATCAGGAATATAAACAACCATAAGTGTATATATGCCTCAAAACACAGCCTTCAAATGAATAAATAAAAACCATCAGAACAAAAAAGATAATTACACAGTTCAACAATAATAGATGGAGATTTCAATACCACTCTTAATTCATAGACTGGTACATTTAACTTAACAATGATAAGATTCCTATAGCACAAGAATTAAAACCAAGAATCAATAAATGGGATGCATTCAAACTAAAAAGTTTCTTCTCAGCAAAAGAAACAATCTTCGAGGTGAATAGAGAGCCTACATCTTGGGAGCAAATTTTTATCCCTCACACATCAGATAGAGCACTAATCTCTAGGGTATATAAGGAAATCAAAAAGCTAAGCACAAAAAATAGATAAATAAATAACCCAATGAACAGACACTTCTCAGAGGAGGATATATAATCAACAAATATATGAAAAAATGTTTATCATCTCTAGCAATTAGAGAAATACAAATCAAAAGTACTCTAAGATATCATCTCACTCCAGTCAGAACGGCAGCTATTATGAAGACAAACAACAATAAGTGTTGGTGAAAATGTGTGGGAATAGGTATATTCATACATTCTGGTGGGACTGCAAATTGGTGCAGCCAATATGGAAAGCAGTATGGAGATTCCTTGGAAAACTCGGAATGAAACCACCATTGGACCCAGCTATCCCTCTCCTCGGTCTATACTGAAAGACCAGCATACTACAGAGACATAGCCATCAATGTTTATAGCAGCACAATTCACAATAGCTAAACTGTGGAACCAACCTAAATGCACTTCAGTAGATGAATGGATAAAAAAAAAAAATGTGGCATACACAATGGAATATTACTCAGCAATAAAAGAAAATAAAATCATGGCATTTGCAGGTAAATGGATGGCTTTGGAGAAGACAATGCTAAGTGAAGTTAGCCAATCCAAAAAACAACAAATGTCAAATGTTTTCTCTGATATAAGGAAGCTGATTCATAGCGGGGTAGGGAGGGAGAGCATGGTAGGAATAGACGAACCCTAGATAGGACAGAGGGATGGAAGGGGAAGAGAGTGAGCAGGGGGTTAGCAAGGACAGTGGAATGCGATGGACATCATTATCCAAAGTACATGTATGAAGACACGAATTGGTGTCAACATACTTTATATACAAACAGAGATATGAAAAATTGTGCTGTATATGTATAATAAGAATTGTAATGCATTCCGATATCATTTATTTTTAAAAAATCAATTTTAAAACTTTTAAAATAAAATAAAATAAATAATTAGATGGATTTTATTTGACTGATTCAAATAATGTTGTGCTGATGTTTCCTAATATTAAGTCATTTTACATTACTGAAATAATGTTCCTTAACAATGATAATCTTATTTAAATGTATGCACTTAATTTACTGTATTTATTTGAAATTTTTCCTATTTCTAAGCACAATATCAATATTTTTATTCTGTCAAGATTTTGATATTAATTTAGTAATATTTACCTCATAAAATATAAATGTGATGCCTACTGAACATTTCTTTTTAGATGCTTCTCATAAAAAAGTCTCAAGACAAGCCCATGATAGTTGTTATCTCTATTTCAGAGTTGGTGAAACAAAGTCCTAGAGATTCAACAACTTCCTCAAGAATCTTAGTCACTGAATGGCAGAGCTTGAAGTTGAAAATGGGGACTACACAAATAACCAACACCCTATGCTACTTAACATCTTTTAGGGTCAACATTCTACAAGTAGTGTTGGTGCTATTTATTTGAAAGTGGGAGGAGAGAGCAACAATCATCACTAAGTACCATAGTAATCACTATTAGAAACATTGTGTTGAAAATCAATTTCCTACAAAGTTCTTCAGTTTGCTACTCTGAATCAATCTGAGAAAGTTCATTTTTTAAAAAACATTCATTTATCAGAAATTTGAATACTCTTAGCATCTAGTTTCAAAGAATTAAAATGGCATCCTAAAACAAAGAAAAAATTATATCTTACCTTGACTTTGAGCCAAATGAAGAATTTTTGATGTAACATATCTGGCAGTATCTGATTCTGTAGATTCAGTATTGATTTTCTCCAGCTGAGCCAGGAGCCCCACAATCCGAGAATTATTGGTAAGGCTAAAAAGAATATTACATTAAAGCATAATCTACATCAACCGTAATTTCAACATTATACAGATGGGTGTTTGTTTCTTTTTTAAAAAAAGCTGTTCTAAAAACTTTAAGTATTTACATGTCACATTTCCTTACTCATATCTTAATATTGTTAAAATTCTGAATTAAATGAGAAACATTCTATTTCAGATATCTACAAATCACAAATGTGCATTCAACCTGACCAAGAATCTTATCATACAATAAAAGTTCACCTTTCTACTTGTCAAAATTACTAGATTTTCTCTGCTCTTCTCAAAACTCAGAATCCCCTCCACCCACCCCACTTTACTCTCATCCTGTCTCATAAATATTATAAAATCAAATAAAAATATGTTCATCTTTCACCACCAAATCCTTATACCTATCTAACATTACTTCTTCTCTGTTCCCACTCATTATGCAAACATTTGTACACAATGTCCTGTTCTAAATGTTGCCAACATAATAAAAATTTCTGCCTCTGATAGAGTGAACTTTCTAATAATAAAAGACAAGTTATAGGGCTGGGGTTATGGTTCAGTGGAAGAGTGCTTGCCTCCCACATATGAGGCACTGGGTTCAATCCTCAGCACCACATAAAAAACAAAATAAAGATATTATGTCCATGTAAAATGAAAAGACTATTCTAAAAAAGAGACAAGTTACATAAATAAATTTTTAAGTTACATAGTATGTCAGGTGTTAGAAAGTGTTCTGGAGAAAAAAATGTTTTAGGGGAACAAAAGGCACAGGGGGAGAGGTCCAATTTTGAACACAGTAGTCTGGGAAGACCTTACTTGGAAGGTAATATTTAAGGAAAGGCTGAAAGAAGTAAGAACATCAGCCATGACAATACCAAGACAAAGAAGAAATCACAAACACTAAGAGCCAGTTAGGAACATGACTGACATATTCAATGAATAATGAGGTGGCCTGTGTTGCTGGAGCAGACTTAAAGAAGAACAGCAGTGAGAGATTAAGTCAGAGCTGGGGGTGAACATTTGGTCTTATAAAGGTCTTTGGCTTTGTACACTTAAACCCAGGCCTTCTTCAAATTCTCAAAACAAATTCTCAAAGTATTTGCTCCTTCAATTATTATTATCTATCTCTCCCTTACAACTGGATTATACCAATCAGTACACAAATATGATCTAGGAGCTTCTGCTAGCTATTCCATTTCTGATACTCCTTGAAAGAGATGTCTGTATTTGCTCTCTCCATTTCCTCTCATTTTGTTCACATTACAAACTACTAGTTTTCCTTCTGCACTCCCAGGTTTCCCAAAAGACTCCTGTGGTCTCTTCCATCCTTATCATATTCAATATCTCAGCACCACCCCAACTAGATATACCACTTTCTGTCAAACACTTAATTCTCTGGACTTAAATGACTCCCGCCTCTACCTGATTTTCTTCCTATCACAACTTCTTTTCAATCTCCTCAGCACCTCTAGACATTGAAGTCTCCCCCTACAGCACTGCCCCCAGCTCACTTTCATTTACCCTCTCTACACTTTTGTTCTCAGTGACTTCATCTAAGGCCACAACTATAATTACCATCTATATGGTGACTGGTTCCTGCATTCTACTGCAGCCTCAACCTCGGAGTGTATGCAACCTAATCATTCCTATTTAGGTGGAAAACTACTCTTTCCTCCTTCCTCTTCTAATCTTCTCCTCTTCTAAATTTTTCTAAATGCACATGCAACCATCAGTTGCTAAAAATAAACATCTAGCAGGGCGCGGTGGCGCACACCTCTAATCCCAACTGCTCTGGAGGCTAAGGCAAGAGGATCATGAGTTCAAAGCCAGGCTCAGCAATTTAGCAAGGTTCTAAGCAATTCAGCAAGACCCTGTCTCTAAATAAAATACAAAAAAGGGCTGGGAGTGTGGCTCAGTGGTTAAGTGCTCCTGAGTTCAATCCCTCCTACCTAAATAAGTAATAAATACCTAGACTCCCTTTTCCTTACTCCAACTCAATATAAGCTCTATCTCTAAAAGATCTAAAATCCACTCACTTCTCCCTCTCTCCACCCCCCTATATAAATATATATAATTATTAATGTATAATCATCTCTCACAACACCCAACTAGTCAGCTTCCCTTCTTGATGTCAAATAATCCATTTCTTAAAAGTGATTATTTTTAACTTTTTTATTTTGAAGTAATTGGATTCATGGAAGTTGCAAAACTACTAGAATGGATCTATATAACCTTTACCTAGTTTCCTCGATGATCACATTTTATATAACTACAGGACAGTATCAGAATCAGAAAACTGACATTGGCAGGAGTTCTATGCCATTTCATCACACGTAGATTTGTGCAAATACAAATATAATCAAATTTCTTTCCAAATAAAAATCTTTCAATGGCTTCCCAACAGACTTCAAGACCCACAGGACCTGTGACACCTGGTCCCTGTCTACCTCTCAGACTTTATTCCCGACAATATTCCCCTCTCTCCCTAGGATGCAGTCACAATGGGCTTCTATCAGTTACTTAAATACAGCAAAATTTTCCTCAACTTCCAGGTCTTTATATTTGCTGACCAGAACTGTGTAGAAATGGTATCATAGCCTTTCATGGAGGCAAATAGTGTCTGCTTATGTTAATATAAGCAGCAACTGATCACCACTACTGAGATCCATCATTTGATTAAAGGCTGAAAAATAGAAATAATTCTACCATTCCATTCCTTCCCTTCTTCATTTGTTAACTGGGGTAATTCCATAAGGAGAATTATGAACAATTCCATAAATATTCAGTCCCACATTTGGTTAGCCACAAGTATAGTTCATCAAATGAAAGCAAAATAAATGCCAAATTTTTAAATTTATCAATATCAGAAGAACGAGTTTATGTCCTAAAATCCTCCATAAGTGACCAATAAAGTATTCTGGTTTGTGTAATGACAAGAACTCATGAATTTAAACATATTTGACATATTTTGTTCACTATAGTTACTAATGATCAAATAGTCCCATCTTTGATCAATAGGAGCTCTTCAAGTTGGCTCATAAGTTCTTTTGATACAATTATAATCATTGACAGTATACTGGCTTTCTCATCTGACAAGGTTCTACATTGCTCAGAAATTCTTTCTCATAGTGTGGTTTACAAAAACCTAAGGGTACCTGAGACCCTTTCACAAAACCTACGAGGTCAATATCTATTGTCACAAAAATTCTACAGCACTGCTTAACTTTGGAACTTTGGAACTTTGTAGTGATTATAAAAAAGGCAATGGTGGATGAAAAGCTGACACTTCAGCACAAATCAAGATAATGACACCAAACTGTACTCCTTAATGATCACTGTATTCTTCACCACCATGCACTTGTAGCTAAAAAAAATAAAATGACAGTTCCAACAATTAGTATACATCTAAGTATTCTCCATACGCTTAAAACACTTCAGGTGCACATTAATGATGGATATCTTAGGAGAGAACGTTTGTACGATTATACTGGAATTTGAACTAGCCACTTTTTTCACAGAAACATCATTTTTACTTCAAAAAGCAGTGGACAACCAATGACTATTCAGACAGATATTTATGTCAGGCATTTTTGTGAAAATAATCAAAGCAAATCTAACATGTCAAGTAAACAACAGGCTTGTTACAAATGACAAAACTTGCCTTACTGAGAAAAAAAAAATCAGAAGTTTGGAAAATACTGGTCTACCATCATGACCTCAACAGCTTTACAATATTTAAAGAATTTTCTGATAAAATCAGTGATGATGCTAACAATTTTTAATATTATATGTTTAAACGTGCAACATTTATAAGATCTGCATAATTCACTGAATCAGTATGTTCCAAATGATCAATGCATGTTACAACTTCAGATGTGGATAAAAAAACATTCAAAGTGCAAAAAAGACCAATGGACTTTAATCTAACAGAGTACAAAAGGTGACAAGTGTGATTTCAGATTCCATATTGAAACTAAACTTTTAAAAACTACTAATTATAAGTTTTAATATAATTTCCATTTCTATATGGCTATATGGTTTTATTTCCAAAGTCATTATATTCAAAACTATTTGTTCCTTATTAGTAACTATTAGTCTTGTTTTAATCACATTTTACTTTCTCCAAATATTGAACACACAATTGAATTTTCCTCTGCCATAAATAATAATCTGAAAAGGCTAATTAAAGCTCTCCTCCCTTTACTAATTACATATATATTTAAGTGCAGATATTTTTTTCTTCACACATATCAACAAGAATACCATGTGCAAATACACAATGTATATGTATAATTTGTCTTCTGTGTGTGACATGACAGAGATCAGAAGCAGAAAAAAGAATTTAGTTGTCTTCCATTAAGCCAGTTATTAAAGAGATTTGCAAAAGTAAAATAAAGTATGCACTCTTCTTACTAAATATTTCTGTTTGGGAAAATGATTATTTTAATAAAAATGTTAAATATTATATAATGAGTTTCTTATGGTTGTTTTTAAATGAATCAATTATTTTGTTTTTATTAGTATATTTCAGTCATACATAATAATGGGTTTCATTTTGACCTATTTATAAATGCATACAACATAATTTGTTCCATTTTAATCCCTAGTACTCCCCTTTTCCTCTCATCATCCTTTCCCCAGTCCCCTTCCTATATTCTTCTATTTATTGCTTTTTTAATTGATGTATTATATTAAAAGATTTATTTACTGTGATATATTCATATATGTACATAGTATAATTTGGTCAATTCTACATTTCCTTCCCTTTCTCGTCCCTCCTCCTTTTCCCATGGGTCCCCTTCCTTTACTACACTCTCCCTCTATTAAATCGTTAGATCACATCCTTTACAGGCTATAAAATATTTATCACCTTTTTTCTTAACTTTTACATTTCTAGCAATTAAGGCATAAGGAAGGAGATTGAACACATGCTCACAGGCCAAAGCAGGAACTCTCTTTGCAATTCCTACCTACAAAGTCAGGCAGAGGTCATCTGTACAA